TTTGGTATTGGTCGGGCTCCTGGTTCGTCCCTCATGTCCACAGTGAGTGTCCTGATCTCTGCAGCAAGTAACCCTCAAAGTTAGATGACAAAGATTATAAAAGAGATGGGGGATGGGAGTGGAATAGGAGAAGCCTCACTCTTCTCAACAGCAAATCCATTGTTCTTCAGAATTTCAGCAATGGTAACCACTGTGGAAATAGCTGTAAACATATGGAAAAGATTGTTAATCCTTTAGAAACTAAACAGCAAGACAATTCAATTATTAATGAATTTTCAACATAACACCAAAAGGCTGAGTCCACAAAAAACATCAAACTGAACTGTACTGCCACTCTGCATTTCTTTTACTTAATAAAGTTTACCAGCAAGCATGAGGAGCCACATCAAACATATTATCGAGCACGTTCTGCTTTTATGTAAAAGATCCCTGGGGAAGCCACAGGAATAAGGTTGTGATCAATCAGAATTCATCTCAGATACACTAAACTACTTTCTATGTTTGAACACCATGATCCTTTTTATGCCAGAAGTTGGTTCAAAATTGTTCAAAAAGATATCACATCCCTGGTAAAGTGTGCAACACTGTGTATTTTACTCTTCTCATACACAAGAAGCTGCAATACTAAACAAGGCATTCTTGAGATGGCAAACAGCATCACACATTGCCAAGATTGAAATTCACCAATCATCAAGAAAAAATCAATTGGGAAAATGAAGTGATAATGCCTCCACAGCCAAGTTGTAACACCATATATTCTTGATGTAAAAGATAGCATAATCACAATTAGTGTAGAAGACTCATATGACATTAATTATAAGCAAAGGGAAACTACAAACTAGCACTCAAATTTGAGGGTCAAGAAGATTTACCCATCCCAAGAGCAGAAAGTTCCACTTCATTGTACTGTTGCATATACCTCTGCAACAAACATACCAAATATCTCAGGATACTAACTCAGACCAATAGCAACAATTATAGATCTGGTGTAAGACCAGGAAAAATTAATATAGATAGTCATATAGCTAACATTTTTCAAGATTTTCTAATGCATGTTATGAGCTCACTTGCATTTGGAAACAGATTCAAACTAAATATTTCAAGTCCTGTGTTAACCCTCTAATTGTCACTGTATGGGGTGAAATTCTTCAAATACACATAAAGTATCTTTTGATGATTAATACTAATGAAATGCCTCAATTGTAGGTTTGAATATTAAATCCGGATCCTACACATACTCACATCTCTTCCATTACAATTGCTCTAGATTTTGTGAACTCAACTGCTACAGCAAACATCTAGAACTTGAACCACATTCTTTTCTTATGCTTCTCAAAAGAAAAAGCTCTCCATATTACAGAGAGAAATTTTTCTTTAGTCACCCAACTCATCAACTAATTATTGTAATAAGATAAGCAATTTTTCTTCAATCAAATTAACTCTTATTATAATTAAACCCAGGAAAAAATTTGATAAAACCCAGGAAACTAAACCTCCGCCAATATAAGCAATCAGACACATCGAATTAACAAAGACCCTGGTTTTTTTGGTTTTTTTTAACAAAGACCCTGGTTATTGTGCATTACCTATTAGCATTTTGCAGGCCTCCCACTATGAGCAATATCATTTGACAATGTAAGTAATTGCTTCCGCTCCCTCAAAGGTAAAATATCTTTCAGATTTATAAAAAACAATATAAGGAGAGAGAAGCAATGACTGAAACAGTATGCAAATTCCAAGTCTTCAATTTACCTTTTATCACATAACTCATCAACAAACAACTCAACAACCATAACCAAATCTCATTTTACAATGCAAACAACCCTAACCAGAGTACATTATCCGGAAGAAAAAGACAACCCTAACCAGAGTATCACATCATCGATCGGCAAGCATATATGCTTTAACCACAAACCCAATAACCATCAAATTGAAACAATTGCTTCTGATACCAGATATTTGCAAATCTAGCTGTTTCATAAAAACATCTACAGACTAAAAAATTTTAATCATTCTTAAACTACGTTCAATTACCCAAAATAAAATTCCACAAACTTCGCCAACGGATACACAGACTACAATGTATGGCTTTATAACATGGAAAAACAAGTAAGCAAATTAAATAATAGCATAAAATACAGTAATAGTGTAAAAACTCCTTATGATTTCAATGTATATACAAATTTAAATGAATTTAAAAAAAGCACCTTTGAGAGATTAACATAAAAGAAGAGTGATTTCTTAGTGTTAGAAACTTGGATTCTGTTCTTCTTTTGTGTCTCTGAGACACTCATCTTGTTCACTCCCTCTGTGATTCCTTCCATTAATTTGTTGATTTCTTCTTCTTCTTCTTCAGGAAAACCCTAATCAGCCTCCGTTCCCTTTAAAAGGTTCCGTATAATTTGGGGGAAATTATATTCACAGTAACAGATAAACCTCGGGTCATTACCGGGTCATATCCACGTGCTTTTAAGGGTTAGGTCCCGTAAACGACGCCGTCTTATGACTCTTTGATTCTTTTATTTTTCAAATGTACCCCCCCCCTATTCTTTCGAAAATTATACTTTACACCGTAAATAATTTGAATTCGAATAACTTTTAATATTTAAATTTTTTATGTTATTAAATAGAACAGAAATGATTTTTCTTTTACTAAAGCTTGTCCGTTATTCATAGCTTGACTTTTTTGTTATTAGATAGTGCGGATCATATATATAAAACATCAATAATAGTTGGGATTTGTTCGAAAATGAATGTTTTAATTTGTTATTCAACATAGCCTTAAAATTGGAACTTCATCTTCTTAGTACTTAAATTTTTTTTGTGAATTACCATTTAAAGAACTTTCTTTTTTCTAAGAGAGGAAATATGCAAAAAAAAAATTAATTAAAATAGTTTAATATTAAAAGGGTAAATTAGTTAAAGTATAATTTTATAATATTAAAATAGGTTTTAAAATTACTAAAATAAAATAAAATAAGAGACATAAGCTTAATATTATAAATTAAAAGTGGATATGTTAGTGTTACAAAACGGAACTTTGAGGGGAAATTTTGAAATAATCATATTATTTATTGGTCTAAAGTTTGATTAATAACTCATTGTTAGATTTTTTAAAATTTGGAATCCTCAAAAAATTCTATGACCACTATTATTCAGGTGAATTTAAATTTGTTTACAAATCACACGATTATTAAGGTACAAAAAATTCAACTAAGAAAACGTTACCAAGGAAATCAATCTCTTATAACCTATTTCATGAGACAACACCTGTTACACCAATTCAGTCATCCTTACATATAATTAATGAAATTATAACCATATATTTTTTTAGTTCTATAATTGATTTTCAATAACTTTTTCTTTATTTTTTCTTCTTCTTCTATCCAACACCATTCCACATCAAATAAATATTTACTAAAGTATATAGTAAATTATTTTCTTCGTGTATGTTTAACAATTTATATGATTTGGTCATCCCTTGCATGTAGCGTTCACTTGCACGATCCTTAATAATCGCTTGAAAAATTAACTTTATCCAAAATAAATAATTTTTCGAAATATGATAAATTAACTATATACGTTAAACTATTAATTTTTCTTAAAACTAGAAATAATCAATGAGAAACTTATTAAAAAGAAGGGTTGTTTTTTTTTCAAAAAAAAGTAACAGTAGTACATTTTAAAACTATGAAATAATCATTCATTGTAAATTATAAAAAAACGTGAAAGTCATTTATATTATAATTAAAAATAGAGGAAGTATTATTTGTATTATGCAGTGTTTACCTGCTTTTACAGCGTCATCATTGTTTAAATGTTAGGCTATTATAAGAAGTTTTTTTTTTTTAGTAACGTCTTATTCACAATTACAGTATTAAACACGTTTCTTTTTTCTTTATTATATGTAGAACTTGCATTGCCCAAGCGTGTAGACAATTAATGAGAAAAATCAATATACTAATATTGACCTACTTGTATATTGTAATATTATTCATTATTGATGACGATGATACTATATTCTATAAAGGTGTGTTGCGCATGGGACACGGTTAAATAATTTGCAAATGTATTAGATTGTATATTCTACTTGTTAGGTTACGGTTAAAGTAATTTATAATGAGGTTTATTGTTTGGATTTATTTAGAGCATAGTATTATTACAAATAATATAATATAAAAAAGAGTTTCAACTATTTTTGATTATTATATAAAATGTTATGACTTATCGGGCATAACAAATTATATGTCACTTAACTCATATAGAACTGATAGAAGCACAAATTCAATTCATATGTCTTACAAAACATAACTTAGTTCAAACATAATTTGTGCCGTTAGAGATATAGTTCAGTTACAAAAATCACAAAGTTATGTCTTGCAAAATATAATTTATTTCTATGAAAAACTTATACTAGGCAAGATTAAAATTACCTAAATTTATATCAAACGAATCAAATAACTTACGTTAGGATTAAAAAAATGGTTCTCTAAACTTGACATACTTTAAATAAAGGCAATAGTTCAGTTGGTACCTTTTTATAATTTTGACCAATTATTTCTACTAATAAAGAACAATTTCAGAATTCATAAGTTTATCATTCCATAACAATTGTTTTTTAACTCCATTTGGCTATAACTATATATTAATTAGTTCTGATTAAGTAATAATTTTATATATATATATATATATATATATATATATATATATTCGAACACATATAATATATTTATTAAGTCAGTGTAAACACTCAGTACCGCTAAAAAAAAATTCACTTTTTTTTGGGGTACAGCTTATTATTATTATTATTATTTACCAATTTTACGTGTATACACGAATATATTATAACTCGGCCGCCATAAACTTTGACGTAAACAATTTTTATTGTGTTTACACAAACTCCCAATAATTATAATAACATTTAAAAGATGTAAATAATTTTTTAATGAAAATTTACCATAATCTCTCTATCAAGTACCTTATTATTTCATATAAATTAATATTCGTTCGTATTATATGGAAAATCAAAACTCCCTATCTCCTCCTCTGTTCATAAATACAAAAGTCGTGTTTGCTTGACCATAATTTTTAGGTGTGAATTTCAGCTGTTTTCCATATTCAGAATCAAACGAGGATAAATTAATCGAGCCAGAGCCAAACAAGGCTCTATGAAATGTATGTGGTATTCAAATTGTTGATCAGTGCAATATTCTCGCAAAAAAAAGGGTAAAATTTATATTGTATCTTTTTTTTTTTTCATAATTATAGGCGAATTTTCAGAAATTGAAATAAATGAGTGTATAGTATATAATATCTTCAGTATTTAACTATAGGAATTGAAGTTGGTGTAGCTTCACCTATTTTTCATTAATGGTGGATCTGCGCGTTAATGCTGATTTTGTGATTTGAATTTCAAATTTTCGAAGCGGTTATCGTGTGTTGTGTATATGTATTGAAGGAAAAAATATAGGTTACAGTTTTGAGGCGAGTAATTTGAGGCATGGAAGCAGAGACGGTAATGAGTAAAGAGGCGGCGGCAGTGGTACTAGCCGGAACTGAAGCTAAATCGGCAACGGCGAAGGCAAAAATGAACGAAGTGGAATTGGTGAAATGCGAGTGTTGTGGATTGACGGAGGATTGCACGGCGGCGTATATAGGGAGGGTTAAGGAGCGGAACGAAGGGCGATGGATTTGTGGACTGTGTGCGGAGGCAGTGAAGGATGAAATTATGAGGTCATCGGAGAGGCGAATTGGGAGAGAAGAGGCTCTGAATCGTCATATGAATTTCTGTAGCAAGTTCAGAGGTCTAACGCCGTCACCGAATCCGAAGGACGAGTTGATATCGGCGGTGAAGCAGTTGATGTTCAGAAGCTTGGATTCGCCGAGATCAAGTCCGGTGAGAAGGCGCCAAGGTCTGATTCGATCTCAGAGTTGTTTTTCAATTGATAGTTGAATAGGAGCGATCGCGATAATGCGTATTTCAATAAGCATATATTTAAATTGTTGCAACTAAAAAGCTCGTGTTCAAACGTTAGAAATTTAAACCACTGGTATGACTTCAGAGAACAATGAAAATGAATGAATTTTGCATTAGATTAGATGGTGATATTGAAAGATATTATTAAGGCAAATTAGTACCCAAGGGTGTGTGCATCTTTTCCACATGTTAAAGCATACCAATTTCAGAAATTAAATTGGTTAATGCATGTGGAAATTTAATTTTCATGCTGTTCTCATTTTTTGTTTACATATACTTGTCTTGGATAACTTTAGACTGAAATTATTCTTGATAAAATTTAACTTCAAACACGATGTTTAAGATTTCATTTGTCTCAACTTTAGCTATATGTAGTTGGAGTTCAATGTTTAAGAAAACTAGGTATGTTCCTCAAAATTCAACTCTCTTTTAAAAATTAAAAAACTCCTAAAATCTTATGAATTCTTTCAACTTTTGATTTTTAAGATTTTCATACAAGTTCAATGAGATAATTGTTTTTTCCTTATTTTTTTTCTAATTATTTATAATAGATATAATTGTTAATCGTATTCTGTTTTCATATATTTAAAATTGATATAGTACGAAAAAAATAAAAAATGTAGTTGAAAATGTAATTAAAAATAATTGTAAAGCATAGTATTCAGGTTTCGTATAATTATAAACAAGTAGTGTATTTCGGTTCTTTTTTTGTTTTCGTCCGTATTCTGTTTTGGTTGTAAATTGTATAAACTATAGATAACGCATGACTATTTGAATAAGTTGTATTCCTTAACGAAACAAATATGATCAATGTAATGTATGTTGTAAACGTTTATTCTGAAATGCATAAAGTTTCAATATTTGTTTTGTATACGCATATATTAAGGGACTTCTATGAAATATGAGGAATTACTATTGTGAATACATAATATTTATAACTATGATGAAATTTTGTTCATAACATGATGATTGTTATGTATTCAGTAAGTGATATTACTTGAATAAAGTTTTGTTCATAACATGATGCAAGTACAATTGTGAATACATATATTAGTTACTTAATCCTAACTTTGTTAACAATTCTACTCCTGACTTTATTAATGACTTGGGAAGTTTTTTTGTAGTGTGAATACAATAAGAATCACTGAATAAACACATCTGAATCCAAAATACAATAAGAATACACTAAATACAACTAATATGTATTTACTTTAGAAACATACAAATAGCATTACAATGTGCATATTTACTTTACGGATACAGACAATGCTCACACAAAGTACAATTAGTATAAACACATCTGATCCAAAATGACCCAAAATGAATTCATTAACAATAATCATATACCACAAATACAACAAATACATAAAAATTCCATAGCATACAACACAATTCTAACAAAAGTTTATTAATAAAATCTGAAATATCATAGTCATGTAAAATGTATTCATAAATTATTGAATATCTACAAATGTAAAAAAATATAAAGGGATGAATAAAAAATGATACATTATCAAAATTAATAAAAACTGACCCCAAAATACAACAATAAAATAACAAATGAATACAAAATACAAACTAATAAATATTGCACAATGTACATAACAGGAAATTTACAGATATATTCAACTACACATTGTTGAACAAATTGTTCTTTGACTTCAACTCAACATGCAAAAATCTAAACATGCAAAAATATTTAAATACATCTTCATCAACAATTTGGTCTTCTCTGTCATTTTCTTGTACCCTCTGCGAGTTAAGTTTTCAATCTGAATTTGATAAAGACTTTGTTCTTGTCGTCTTTCTTCCCTCATTTTAGAAGCAGATCCTACAATATCCGCTATTTCTTGAGTAATACATAGACTAAATGATGGAAAAAATAGTTTACTAAGATTAATAGTGTCTCTTAGAATCATCCATTGAAGAGTTTTTTATAGTTCTAAACGAGAATTATCCTACTTTCACCAAATAAGAATGATTTTAAACAACAATAAATCAGAAAATAAATCTAAAAAAAGAAGATAACGATGAAAATACCTTAATTAGAGGAATTTGTGTGAATCCAGATTTTGAAGATAAAAAAACAACATTACTGTAGAAGATAATAAGAAAATTTGGGTTGAAGAGAAAAAGGATTTGAAGGTTGAATAGGAATATTAACAAAAAAAATATGGAGAGAGAGAATTTTATTTATTTTTACTTGTAGAATAAATATGGAAGAGAGATATTGGAAAAATTTGCAGATTTAATTTTTTTTTTAAAAATAAAAATAAAGGTTCAATTAGGATACATATTCTTTTTCTTTTTAGACATTTTTTATTTTTAACATTTTAACTAATATTTTTAAAGTAGTGAATTCATTAAGTAATACAAATTCGGAAGAACCCAACATCGAAGAAGATAAAATACAACAAATTTTGATATTTTTTTTTTAAAAAAAAGAATGAGATTAACAAAATGACAACTACAATATTGAATTGAACCATAATAAAGGAGAGCAGTTAGATATTGGAGTGTACAGTTTTTGCCGGAAGTGGCTTAGCATGTTCCGGCAAAAATGAAAATGAGGAAGAATGGACTTTGGGGAAGGTTGTGGTGCCTGGTGTTTTGGCGTTAGAGGAAAAAGAGAGAAATGTTTTTTTCTTTTCTTTTATTGGGTTGATAATATAATTTTAATTTTATTTAATTTTTAATATATATTTTAATTGTTTTTATGGGTCCAAAGTCACGTATATCTTTGTGATTAGTTATTATGCCATGTCATCGTGAGTGCATGACACACAATTTTTATTTTTAGTTGATTGAAAAAAATGTTCAATAAGCACTTTTTTTATACTAATAAAACTGTTCTATTGGAACAAGTCTAAAATAAGGTGTCCAAGTAAAATGTTAAGTTAACTATAAGTGGCTATAAATGAAAGAGAGCTCTTGCCATTATCCAAACACTACATCGCGGTAGAATATGTAGTCAAACAAAATAAAGAGCGCTCAATTGAACACTTTTATCTAAAGTTATCTCATTAAAATTGCCTTAAATGATGACAAAATGTCGTAGAACCATTTTTAACAAGTTGAGAGGTGTAATGAAAATTCTATTTAAAAAAGAAATGCAAGAGGAGAATATGCCTTAAGCCTAATAACAATGCCTATTTATATTTAACAATATAATAAATTACAAATTCGTCGCTTTGGCCGAGTGGTTAAGGCGTGTGCCTGCTAAGTACATGGGGTTTCCCCGCGAGAGTTCGAATCTCTCAGGCGACGCTTTATTTTTTTTTCCTGTGTTTTCTTTTCTTTTTTTTCCCCTCATTTAATAACTTTTTGTGTTTTCGAATCTTTTTATTCTGAATTAAAGAATGTTGAATCTATCAAACTTCTGTAAATATGATTTCAGCCTATGAAAGTTGATTAATAACAATTTATTTTTCTAATTGCAGACAATTTCGTGTCCTTTTTTTTTGTTTTCCCTATTAATAACTTTTGGTGTTTTCGAATTTTTTTATTTCAAATTAAAGAAGGTTGAATGATAAATCTATCAAATTTCTGTAAATAGGATTTGAACCTACAAAACTTGATTAACAACATTACGTATCTTTTTCATCCTTCACTTGCCCCACTACTAATAAAAGTAAACTAGCCTCGAAAATTAATCATATTATTATAATTTTTTAAGTTTTCTTTCAAACAAGCGATATAATATTTTATAAATTCTGACTAGGGTTTTTCCATATTCTTGGTTGAAGGGGGTAATAATTTCTAATTACTCCAAATTAGAAAAGGATAAGGGGATAATGCGTACATAATTCAAATTCTACACCAAACGTCCATAACTAACTTAATATTATTTTCCCGCCATTCTAATTTCACAAAGCCTAGACCTCAGGACCAAAAAATAAAAAATCTTAAACAAACACCATTACTATTTAACTTCCTAGTGAATGGGTAGTATCTATTGTTCCTTTATTTCCTCTCTTTTACTAATCCAAATTAATGATAATCATCTTTTATTTTCATAATCATCATTTTTTTTATCCTTAATTATTCGTTTATTAAATCATGAACACCAACATTTCTATATTGAAGGCATTTAGAACCTTTGTTGTAGCATGGTTCATTATATTTGAAGGTGTACATGGAGATATTAATTATCAAGAGGCTCTTACCAAATCCCTTATTTTTTTGGAGGCACAAAGATCAGGGAAACTTCCTCCTAATCATAGACCTTCATGGAGAGGAGATTCTGCCCTTCAAGATGGAAAATCTGCTAATGTATGTAGCCCTCACGTGCGTTGTTCGTGTATCACATGATAATATAAAGAGTAATGTCAACAATTTCCATGTTTGTAGTTTGAAATGTTATATTCCAATCAACGGCATCTTACTAGGTGATATTGAGGAGGGCTAGACCTTTTATTTTTGTAATTCTAAACTTAGAATGTACACTTATAATATGATGTTCGTTTTGAACCTAGAGACATAAAGTAGTTTCCTAAACATATTTTGAATTGGGAGACATGGATTGGGCATAGAGATTAACAAAGAAAACAGAAATGTCTGGTTTAAAATTATTTTTTTCTAAATATAGAAACGTGACAATATGTTTGGAGATATAATAAAAAGGGAAGTGTGTCATATGAATCAGAACAGAGGGAATAATAAAAAGAAAAAGCATGTAAATTTTTGCACTGAAATTGTGTACTACATTATATCTTTTTTGCTTTTATATATATATAGGTGGACCTTGTTGGAGGATACTATGATGCTGGAGATAATGTAAAATATGGGCTTCCAATGGCTTTCACTATAACAACCTTAGCATGGGCTGCTATTGCTTATCACTCACAGCTCCAATCTGCTGGAGAATTGGAAAATGTTCGCTCTGCCATCAAATGGGGCACTGATTATTTCTTGAAAGCTAGTGTCAAGCGCAATTGCCTCTACGTCCAGGTAATTAAATTAGTGTACAAAGCATCCCGTATTCATACATGTCAAGGAATGTGATATAGACAACCTATCCTGACACAAGCTATATTGTGCGTTGTTTTTTAAAGGTTGGGGATCCAGTGAAAGATCATGAATGTTGGACAAGGCCAGAGAACATGAAAACGCCGAGAACTGTGCTAATG